AGAGTTGTGCACAATTTATACTTTGATAATTAGCTTTTCAAAATAACTCGCTCTTCAACGAAAATGTAGGAGTACAGCAGCGACTGAAAAGTCTTGCAAATATGTAAGAGTAAAAGGCTTCTTTTGAACTGACTGTTATTCAGTTATTTTATTCTATACTTTATTAGTTTGAAGTATGTTAGGGTTAAGTGAAAGCGTTGACGCAGAGGGCGTACAAATCGTGAACTAACAAGAATTCCAAAAGTTTAGAAAACTTGAACTCCTTATTGAAACTTGCGGTCGTACGCGTTTACTTGACGTTTTTTTTTAATAAGCAATTATTTCAATGATCGATTAGTTTTATTCAAGTTTCATTAGTGGTGGCACGTAGGCACCAGCAGCAACGGTAGCAATGAATAAATAAAGACCAATCTTTTATTAATGGTGAGCTAATGGTGACGCAATTAATCAATACAATTTAAATGAGAGTGCATTTCAACAATTTGATTTGATTTTTCATAGGAAAACCCTGTATATTTCAGTTGCTAGGCAGTTATAGTGAAGGTAACCAGATTTAGTAGGTGCAATGGTGCGATCAAGGATGCTATGTAACATAGCATCCTGGGGTGTAATCAATTTCTGAATAATATAACGTCATTAATTATGTGTATTGCAAAGAGAAAAAGAAAGGAGAAGAGGAAAGGTTAGAAAACTGCCTCAAACGGTTCATTGACCTTGGTATTTTGGGAGTGGCCGCGGATTGAGGAGGAGGGGTGTAGGTAAACGGAATGACTTTCTGCAAAAATGGAACGATTGAAGGTAACTTAAATTTACCCTATTTTAAATTAAAGAGATATTCTGTTATAAGCCTTAAGACGAGATTATCTGAGGCAAACCATCTCTATCCCAGATTCCCCCAAACCCATTAAACCTCAACCTGCTTCTACTACCTCAAAATTTGATCTTTTGTTTTTTTTTTTTTAGAAAACAAGCAATGGCAGCTCGCGCAGAAGCAGAAAGGGAGGGTATTCAGGTTCCGCTAACGCTAGAAGACTACTGTATTAAAACGCAAGTGAAGCCAAATAACGACAACCAAGTCGAGATGACCGACTTTTACGACGACGATTACGACGAAGACTACGACGACCCCTCAGACGGTTCGGATTGTGCAGAGGACGACGAAAACGATAGCGGTAACGGGGAATCGTGATCCCAATAGGAGATTATGCACAGATCTAACCTGCTAAATTGTATTCTTATCTAATTGTAGGCGTTTTGATAAGTACCCCTTATTTTCTCATCGGTTTGTTGTAGCTTCGTTACGAATAGATTTCGGTGTGGTAGGAGGTTGCAGCTGCCAACTTGACAATTAGAAAGTTGCCCACTATCGCTAGCTCATACTATCTGCATAGATAGCGTATATTTTTTT